TATTTACGAGTGAAATTTCAGCAAATTATCAACAAAGTGAGGCATCAAATTATTGGTTTTGCTCATTAATATTCGATTGTTTCTCGATTCTTCAAATAACAAAGATTCATTGAGCGTATATTGATGATCCTCAATATCTTCTAATTGGATTCCACCTGTGTAACATACACTATCAGTGATTTGTGGATTAGGTTTCTTAACAATATGAAAACAACTGGTGGATGCTCCTGGTAAACGACAGTGAGCAAAGAAAAACGAATTGTTATTTGGATCACCAAGACCAATACGAGTATAACCTAAATTAGCTTGGTTGTAGCTGATACGTTCATATTTGAAAAGATGAACATGACTAAATCACAGAAGAAAACATGAAGAAGTATAATAATCAAAGACAAAAACATATAATATTCATACTTAATGTAGATATGTTGTGCAAGACTATCTGTTTTACAAAGAGTCCAACCACAAAAACGAGTACCATCGAATGAACCAGTCTAAGAATAATAAGAAAAAAAAAGTTTAAATCAGAAAATAACTATTGTTAACGACAAAATATAATGTATATCAATATTTTTTTTAAATATCTAGAGAACGAAAGTAGCTGAAAATTTGCAGTTTACAATATCGGAAAGAGACATATGGAAAAGTAATACTTTACTGAATTATTTGAACTATGTTTCAGTCTATTAGGTGAGTTATTGCTATAGATTTCTATCAGAAGTTTTCTAAAAACCTTCCTCAACTACCTATGAGTTTCGCTTTAGGAAATCAACAGCAAAAACATTTCTCTTTAGATCTACGCAAGACCGACTCTTCTAGCTTATTCCATTCAGGAGTTATAAATATTTTACTGAAAGCCTTGTAATCAGCCAAATGATCATTGGTAGCTTTCAACTGTATTCAGTTCGATGTATTCGTCTTTGCTGAGTGTAATGATGTTATTTGTTGTTAGTTTTGAAATGATCTGACATGAGAAAGACAATATCTTTAAAACGTCTCATATAATGTTACAAGCTTTGCATCGACTGAATTATAAAAATCATGATCTAGCTACTTACGACCATATTGACACTAAAAATAGATACTACGATAGGAGTCAGTGTAGAGTAATACATTGAATTCAATAAAACTTTCGAATGATCAATGATCAGTTGACCGCTTTCAAAGTTTTCAGTAAGCTCATTGTAACTCTCGTATGGAATAAACTAGAAGAATTGATCTTGTGTAAATCCATAGAGAAATGTCCTGCTTGATTAACCCATAGTTCAAACGTTCATTAAACTGTCATTTTCTCTACGTTTCTCTTTCCAATGGTAAAGCCTACAGGATTCTAATTACTTTTGTTTTCAAGATATTCAAAAATTAACAATGGACATCATATTTTATCATCAAGAATAGAATACTTGATAACTTACAGCACATGGTATCATCACTATATAATATTTTACATCCATATAACGAAAACCTAATCGAAATGTATCTTTGTCTCCATCGGTAACATACTGCAACAAAACAAATGTAAATCTTTTCTGATTAATGTCATTAACAAATGATTACTTTATAGAATAGTTCATGATTATCATTCATCAATTTTGTCATATAAATTCCATTCCATACACGTTTTTTGTCAACTAATATTGTTGCACTATCCAATTCATATTCATGTTCACCACAAGTTGTATTAAACAAATTCCATACACCTGGGTGTTGTCGACTTAGATAAGCATCAGGAAAGAAAAGAGCACCAAATTTGAGATACATTGGATCGGAAACAAAAAGATCTATGGGATCTCGTGTAACATATGCATCAGAATCGAGAAATAGTACTTCAGCAAAAGTAGCACTAACAATTGCTGCCGGTTTATAAGGAAAACTTTTCAATAAATTGCCTGTACGAGGTTTGTAAACATGAGTAGAATTAAGTTTCCAGATTTGTCTACGAGTTCTACATTGAGCTCTGTCAAAACAACATATGCTGACATTGAGTTTCGATGCCTTATTAAGCAAGCTCATCATTCTATTTTCTGAGATTTGACTTGATGAATACCATATCTACAAGAGAAAAGGTCAAATTTATTTTAAAATTCATTTGAAGGAACAATACTATCTTGATGTTTCTTTGTGTGTAACAAATTAAGACATATTGTATCCAAGGTTGAGATTGAAAGTGATTTTTTGTGTTCTTTCAAAGACATCAAGAATAATAATAGAAATCTCATGAAATCATCACTCAAATAAAAAACTTATAAATGAAAGAGCATTTACGATCAAAATGATAAACTCAAGAAGTCTGAACACTATCAAATTAGATCATCGAAAACAAAGAGATACAAATAGTATATGGTGTAGTCTTTGTGAAATGGGAGCTCAATAGATGAAGACACGTTGTATACAGTGATATTAGGACATGTTGGATAGAAGTTTTTGATAATTTTCATTATTAATCATACAATATTCAAACAGATCAGTTTTTGTGCTAACTTTGTACAAAAAAGGAACAAACTACTCAGCTTTTTTTTATTCATGTGAGACTCGATTATAATATTCGCCAAAGATATGAGTTTTTGTTCGCTTGTGAGCAACATTTCAAGTTTTTGAGGCATTTTTTGTTAAATATGAGCTATAGTCACTCTTTCATCAAAGACTGTGGCAGACCTTTTTGATATACGACCACAGACTCACTATCAATAACGTGTCGTTATAATATATGAATTATTTACCTATTGCATTTTTAAAGGACCAAGCAGAACTATGGTGAAGGGATGTATCTCAAAAAAATCTTCCTGTGATTAACAATACTGACTACCTTGTATTTCACATTTTAGTCCCACAACGATTGCGCAACCAGCTTTTCTTTGTTTCATATATTTGATGATCAAGTAGGAACTCATATAGACAAAAAAAGTTGAGTAATTTGTTCCCTGTATATACAAAACTAGTTCAAAAATCGCGATGTCTGTCTGCTGGGATATTGTCCAAGGCAGTTCCGCTGCTGTTCTAATAAATCAAATATACGAATCGTATACTGTTTTTTCTTTCTCTTCTATCAGCTCTGAAAATTGAAACCACTCTTGACACGTAAAAGCATCTTTCATTTTCGCTTCTTTTATTAGTGTTGAAAACTCGTATTGAAATCATTGATCTTTGGTTTTGGTCACTAGAGAAATATACCTAATCAATGATGATTATGATTTCTAAGATCGTTGTTTATTAGGAGAAGCTACTGAATACTTGGTGATTTTTTTACCCTAGTTGATACAAAGTAGAGAAAACTTCGACTTAAAACTTCCACTCAGAGTTTTCTTTCGAAACATATATATTAGTCCTAAAAAGTACAGAGTTTAGTTAGAAATATGATCATCTTTTTTCTGTCAGATTGTGATACTTGATTGAAATTCATATTCTTAGATGAATATTGTGAAAAGATGACTCCATTAATAATAATAACTCAATGATTTTCATCATAATTCTATCGTTTATACTCTTCAGAAAGCTAGTTATACTTTTCTAATATGAAGATTCCGAGTATTTTGATAGAAAATTTTAACTAACCTGTCCCTTAAGTCTTATTCAATGATATTATTATTTAATATCTATGAGAAAAAATTTAATAGTTAAGATTTTTCAATAGGATTGACGTTATGTATATTATTCTAGTCTGAACTTGAAGTTGTTTCTAATTTCAGAAAGTTGATTTCATTTTCTTGTTAACTTAATGTGAATAGTTATAGATTTGTGAATATGTCATTTTTTATTTCTCGATCAAAAATTATGCATATCTGTTTCTTTGGTATAAACATAGCAGTGATGGGACCGGTTCGGTTCGGTTCCAAATATCCGGAACCGATTACATCTAAATATATGTTCTAACATATTTGTTAACTTGTCCATTTAAAGTGAATGAAGAAAGTATAGCACATTTTTTATTGTTTACTCGTATGTTTCATAAATCTTCAGTCACTAGCAATAGTTTTGTTCATCGTTCAGTACATAATTTTACAGACAACAATTTAATAGGAAGCACTCATATATATATATATATATATATAAGTAAATATTAATTGATTATCAATTTGTATTAGTTTTTAATGCATTAAAAAAACCTCGCTTTGTTTTGAACTGCAAAATAATCTTTAGCAGACGGCAATAAAGTTAGAAAAAATTATCTAATTAATGTCTTGAAATAGATAGCTTTACTGATATTTTCAGACCTTTCAAGTTTAGCCAGTCATAGTGGTTATTACTTTTCAAACTGTAAAAGACGAAATGAAATTTACAATTTTGACGAAATCGTTATATTTTGAAGAGCAACACTTTCTTTTTCAATATGTGGGCTTCCTCCTATCTTTAGTTTATTATTTTCAAGTGTCTCATCACTCCGAAATCATAAACTAGAAAAATACCGAGTAATGGTTAGAAATTATGACATATATAAATTATTTCTCAAGATCTGCGCTATATAACATTTTCACAGAACGACCTTCAAAGAATAATAATAACCTGCTAGTTGAAACAAGTTGTGCCCTTTATACTGAACGACGAACGAAAACGCAGTGAGTCGTTCTTGATTAACAAAAAGATTGGCTAGCCACTAAAAATACGCTACAGGCTTTTCCGATGGGAATATATTTCTAACATAAAAACGAATATACCTATGTTTTTAACATTCTATGCAGCTCTTTTTTCTACGTCACTCTTAGAACTATCGAAAGCGTTATAAGCAGGTCTTCAATAAATTGTTGTAAGTGAATATTCTGAGAAAAAGATTAAAAACTGATAAACTTTTTTTTCTTTATTTTTTAATCGGTTCGGTTCGATTCTGTTCGGTTCCAAAAAAAACACGAACCGATCCCATCGCTGAAACATAGTTCTCAATTTTTTATCATATCAAACATACAACACTCGTTTTAATTTTTCATCGTACGAAAGTTTTGATTAATCACTAATTCAGTCATTCGTTACTTGTTTTATCACGTTTTCGTGTAGAACAAAAAAAAAATTCATTTTGATGTACGTCTAAATGGAATTATATTTACTTGAACATTTAATTGACTACCACTGTGTTCAATCATTCTTAGATTGACTCTTGCTAATGTTAATTGAAGTGGTCCAACAGTAAGAACAATACCTCGACCATGAAAATATTCGTTTGGATAAGGTACAATTTGTTGACTAAGTGTTATAAGTAATTTCGATATAATAGGGAAATTTTGTTCTTGTTCTTTATTTAATGATCTCGTTGTATTACAACCACGTGATGCACTATCATACATCCGAGAATAGCTCGCTAAGTGTTCATTAATTAGTTCATCTTTGAACGATGCATTGATCAGATATAACACTGGTGAATTGGCAGATAAATATAAAAGAAAGTGATTTTGTGGCTTCGGTATCATAAATATAATGATAAGAAACAAAAGTATTATATGTAAACAACAAATCACTTTGGTATATTTTGCCGGAGTATTCTTCTTTGTTCTTAGAGACATATTTATAAGATGATAAGATAATTTGTTATATTAACTTTTTGAAAAATATATTTTACAACAAAATCTAAGTAAAAAAAAACAATTGCATTCAATAATCTAATATAATTTAGAAAAAAAATCAATGGACCAATTATATTCTAATAAAAATAATTATTTAATTAATTAAGACAATGTCATCAATTTGATATTATTATCGTTAATAAATAAAACAAATCAATGTATGATCAATGACTGTCTTCGAAAAAGTTCTTACCTTAATTATGTATGAGGACTGACTATATGAATTACTTATTTTATTTCAAAATAAATTATTTTAAACTGGTTCAAAAAAATAACATACAAAATCAAGTACATGAATCATTGATAACTTATGATGCACTTTTCTGTTGCATTTTCATCATATCGAGTTCACTTATTTACATACATGATTCGGTTGAATGAATTCTGATTGAAAGCAAACGAAACAAGAAAACATTTATATTTTATTAGTGTGACAAATGATATATTAAACCATAACGAAAAATAATGCACTGATTTGAAACACGTCAATCAAACAAGGTACTTGATTAAAAATATCTATTAAGGTTTCTAACGAATAGATTATTTTAAGGTATCATCAATTAGTTGATAGTTTTTTTGCTTATTGATTGATGACAGAACGAGAAAGAAAACGACGATATGGTATACATTGGATACCATTACACTCATTTTTTGTACAAGAGATAAGCGTGATTTACAAGATCGCGACTCAATATTTTTTTTTCGAGAGGTTTTATTTAAGATAGGTTTTTTTCTCTTAGTCAAGTTATTATAATTATGAGTTTCAAATGAAAAAAAATAATTTTTTGGTGTAACTAAATTGATGAATGACTATCTTAGGATAATCTTTTCTTTTTTTTATAGATAATATGTTTGAAACAAATTTTCTACTTAATAATAAAATGAATATTTGGTGACGCTCACAACTTTTCGAAGACAATATTGAGTGTAAGTGCAAATTGAGGTTTTTGCGTTTTTCACCTTCCCAGATCCTAGCAACTAGGGATGGGAGGAGAACTAAAGATTATTGAGTACCTTGTTATAGCAATGGAAAAAAAGCACGTCAGTAATAACAGTCCGAAGATTATTTTGGAATGTTTTAGAACCGTCCAAAGCATTCTATGTATCTAAGATTTCTATTAGAGTTTTTAAATAGTCTAAATTTTATGAACTTTAGTAACTAATACAACGAAAGGTTTCCATTGTAGGTGTCAATCAACAAGTCAGCGCTATTATTGATGTAGCAGAGCCAGAATAAGAGGGATATAGAAAAATATGAATTGATTTGATTCTAAATTTAGGCTAAACTCAAAATTACATGTCAAAGTTCATCGAAAGAAAGGATGTTGTGTTCAAGATCTTGCTAAACGATTCAATCAACGTGTATAGCACGATAAAATAGTGATTGAATTAACGGAACGGAATAGAAAATAAATGATATTTCTCGCTTACTATAACATGTCTCATATGTACCATCATTCAGAGAAAAGAAGTCATGTATTGAAGATATATCGGATAATACAAATAAATTTTTTCAGTATAACAATTTTAAATGAATCAAATAAATTAGTTGAAAAATTATTCTAAATCCAAACATTTTCGAAAAAATAAAATTTTAGCAAGTCCTTATCAACTACAAAAATGATTATCATGTGAGTCTATTCATTGATTTAACATTTTCTAAACTGAATCATTCTAACTTCTCTGATAGTATATCATAAATATGCTTTGATTTTAGCTAATTTTATCTTTTGATTTAACCCTGAAGGTGATCAGGACGGCATTTTCAGACGAAAGTAAAAGTTATCAAAGGATTTTGTGATAAATATAGATCGAGTCGTTTTTTTTTTATGCTGATTCTGTATATACGATTTGTTTTGATCGCAAGTCTGATTATTCAGACCAAAATCCGTCAAATATCAGTAAAAATAGGTAACTTTTAATAGTAATGAACATTGTGTTATTTTACTAAACTAACTTAGTCATGAATCAAGCCCAACGCAATAGTATAATTTTGTAAATCTTTGAAAAGTCTATCGAATGATACATAGTTCCAAGTGAATCACTGCTTTCACAGCTCAATATCAATGAAATTTTGTCATGAGTGTTTTCATATTGTGCATATCAAGTGAACAATGTCATTTAAAAGAAAAAGCGACAGAGCTTTCAGTTGGTGTAATCAATCAACTTAAAGAAGCTGAGAAAAGAAGGGAAAATTTCCATATAATGACTGTCTTGTATCATGATATAGAAGATCGAAAATATTATAGGTTTTAGTGAGGTGTGTACAGTCGAAATAAAGTCTAGCAGTCTAATTAAAACAGCAATCGACTTTTGATACCAGAAGTGACTCTTGTTAGAATAAGAAACCCAATTTCGAGAAGAAGGCCACTTTCGTTACTTTTTTTTTATTTAAATGTCTCGAATAACAAAAAAGTAGATGTTGAAATTTTCTCTTGCAAGAAGAATGTTCGATAAAAATAGAAGGATAAAAGCAGACGTACAAAATCGACTGATGTGCATCAATGCAGCTCAAAGAAAATTTTGGAAAAGATTACCCTGCACAAAAAGCTTTTTCATTTAGAAATTCAAATAAAAAAATCTTATTTTTGTACCAAAAAGAGTATAAGCTTCGTACACAAGTTTTATAATTTATTTCTTGATAGAAGATATTGAAACAACTTCTTCTTGTATTAATTATACAATGCTTTACTTTTTGAGGTGAAAACTACAATTATTAATTGCTGATGAATAACAATATAGTTTTCAACATCACCTTTTTTTTATGTTTAAAGTAAATCGATTTTTCTTTCACTTTCTTCGAATATTTGGGTGAAAAACTGAATCCAGCTTTTTGTTAATTTTGATGACAAGAGAAATTCTTTTAAGAATTTATATCCGTTTGAAGAAAAGTTTCGTTTTAACGACAGCTAATTGTCTTGAATTTCTTTGGATCACCGCAAGTCTATGAAATCCGAAACAATGACAGAAATTATAACGATTTTTAAAACAGTATACTTTTCATTATTTACAAATATTTTATTAATTTTCCATAGTAACATTCATTCTATTCACTTGAAAATACTTTTCAAATAAAAATTTTTGTTTTCCAATAAATAAATATAACACATATGAGTGATACAAGTATCATTTCGAAAGTATCTTCATATGATGCTGAGAATAGACGAACCACAAACCAGAAATGCCATTCATCATGTTGGGATCGATATTGGTTTCATATAATTACTACATTACTCTTATCGATTATTTTAGTCACATCAAGTGTACTAGGATATGTTTTATATAAACAAGCACAAGAGAATCGAAAACGTCGCCGTATCCAAAAAGACTTTAAACGTAAACATGGCCTTGCAAATAAAGTTTTAGATATGGTTAAAAAAGATGGTGTAATTGCCAAATGGCTCAAAGCCAATAAAGGACAAACATTAAAAGTGTTCACAGAACTAATGAATGATATGGTGGAAACGATTTTCAGCGAATAAAGAAATTCTACAAAGTTTCCATAAAATATCTCTATCTTGAAAAAAAAATGTAAAAATCATGTAATACCCCATATTCGTTTTGGTAAATAAATAACTTCATATCATTCGTGATCTGACTTATTGTGATGTTATCTTTGATTGCCACACTTAGTGTTACTTGGACTTTTGTTTACTAAGAAAATAGTATGTTTTTTTATAATTGAAAAACTTTCTATTTAGCAACGATACATGGTTAGCTTATCTATTGGCTATTTATTGTCGTATGGCAATAATCACATCATCATCACTTTCTACTTACTGCTAATAGCACTAGGAATATGACACGCTTAAATTAATAGATCGGTAAACCATCACTAATCGATAGATTCTCTATTGAGTAGTATACAGAAAAATATATGATTTACGAGTATTCACGGTTAGAGATCAGTGCAACCATGATGGTTTACTCACGATCACTATGCGGTCACAAGAGTTTTTTGTATTCCGTAAAGACTTCAGTAATAACGCTTTTAAACTTTCTTTCTTGTAGATTAACGCCGTCAAAACTGGCTATAGTTCATCCAGAAGCCATACTTTTTGGGTAAACTATGTTGAAAATTTCAAAATCTTTTATTTCTGCATAGCATTAGTTTTTGTCATAGTTATAGCAATGAAAGGTCTGATCACGGCTATGAATATTTATTAAATGTAGTTATGGTCTTGCATGACCGTGATGATGACGTGTGACTGCTTTGCAGTAGTGGCGTCGCTAGGCTGAGGCCAGGTGTGGCTCAACCCCATCATCGGACTTTTGAGCTCTATCACCCTGAATAAGAGCTTACTGGACAAATTTCCCAAATCAAAATAAAAAAAAATCAGTTATAAAGCTATGGTTGATGTTATTAAAGCTGCAATAACAATTCCAGTATCTTCAGCAACATGTGAGAGTACATTTTCAAAAATGAAATTAATTAAAACAACAGTTCGCAATTCGATGACTGATGGTCGCTTGAGTGATCTTCGCCCATAGGCTATTGAGCGTGATACAAATATAAACTTCGAGAAATTCATTGATAGTTTTTCAGAGATTCACAAAAACAGTCGAATTATGTTAAAATAAGTACTTGTTGTTTTTGTTCTTTTTTAGTATTCAAGTAATTCATGATAGTTGATTATAAATCTACGAAAATTGACGTGCTTACGTAATCAGAAAGACTCGCATCATTGTTTGCTTTAGTATTTAGGGATTTAGTGCTGCATATGAACATGGTAGGCATCTGAAGGAGGTTGCAACAGACTGGCGTAGTGGGGGCTCAGCTTCATCACCATTAATTTTCTAGTGACATCACTACCTTGTAGGTCCTTATTTATAATACTTCACAGATTTGTATCACATGTTAGTCATTCATATTCAATCGAGTACCTTATGAATTGATTAAAAGTTTAACTTAGATATATTGTTGCCATAGAATTCAGAAAAGGAGTGGCATAATCTAAAAATGGATTAATATGCTAGTCTTAGAACAAACAGTTAGCAAATAGTCATCTAAAATCTTTATTTGTATCAGATTCATTTCCTTCGTAAACTAAAAAGATATTTCAGAGACTATTCTACTTAAGAGACGTTCCACGAAAAAATCAAATACTTTCGGATATCGAAAAACATCGGGGTCAACCGGTTTTGGATTTGATCCCCTAAGTATTTCAGGCCTCATCTACCATAGATGAATCTAAAATATTACGAACTAATGATTTACCTTTGGTTCATTATGGCTGTCCGAGTACAGATACCCTCAAAAATAGCGCAAAAAGGTGTGAGAAATTGACCTATACTTTTTTTGAAATTTTTCCGTCGAAAATTTTTCACTATTCAAATTGAGTCATATACCAATTGATAGAGCTTGATTTGCTCTACAAATCTGTATATATGGTACTTCTCTCTGATCTTAATTTAGAATCGAAAAAAAGTTTAAGAACTGTGATTTTTCAGCAGATAAAATTTGGTCCATTTTTTAGTATTTCGGCTTTATGTCTACGAGAGAAACAAATCACCAAAAGGAACTTCGTATTGTTTTGTAGCTCATTCAATTCTACATTGAATTGTATATTAGTCATTCCTTTAAAACGTTCGAGCAGCGAGATTGTTGGACTTGAACATCGACTACTGACACTATATTTTGCCTATTTGCAGAGCCAAACCATCCTCATGTTTGTAATCTTTGTTCTAAAAAGTATTATATTTGCCATTGATTTGTCTACCAACAGACAGATCTTAACTTGCTCTACAAAACTATATATATGATATGTCTCCTTAGCCTCAATATAGAAGCGAAAATGTCAAAATACAGTATTTGTAGTATATAAAATTTTCTCCATTTTTCAGTATTTTGTCTATATGTCTTGATAAAAAAATCAATTGCCACAAAAACTTTTATTTCATTTTGTAGCCTATTTAATTCTACATCGAATTATATATTTGGCATTGTTTCAAAATGTTCGAAAGCTGAGATAGCCA